AGGGCACTGAAACGTGTCAATTAAGAACACGAACACGAAGAACCATACTGATCATGAGGGCACTGAAACGTGTCAATTAAGAACACGAACACGAAGAACCATACTGATCATGAGGGCACTGAAACGTGTCAAATATTAACACGAACACGAAGAAACATGCTGATCACGAGGGCACTGAAATGTCTCAAATGTTAGCAAATAAGTTGCAAATTTAACCAAAATGAAAACAAATTATTAACTCTAAAAGTATAATTTAAAGAAAAATAACAAATTTTACAGTAGGCAAGTTCTGATCTTGATGATTTCAACGTTTCGACCCACAGTATCGTGTCATCGTCAGTTCAAAGTAACGTTCAAAAATTATCGCATTTTGAATTAATGATGAGTTCAGTGGGTCCCTTACTAAACCTTAACTCTAAAATACTACTATAATAATTGGTGTAGCTATTTTGTTTATATATAACAAATACTAAATTGTAATAACACATAATTTAACTCTAAAATACTACTATAATAATTGGTGTAGCTATTTTGTTTATATATAACAAACACTAAAATGTAATAACACATAATTGAATAGTGTAAAAAAGAAGGTTCGAGTGAACAAAAGAGCAGATAAAAGAGATTTATTTATGAACTTTCCTGTTCCAGGCAGTGCGTCATGGAATATCTTACTAAACATTAACTCTAAAATACTACTATAATAATTGGTGTAGCTATTTTGTTTATATATAACAAACACAAAAATGTAATAACACATAATTGAATAGGGTAAGAAAGAAGGTTCGAGTGAACAAAAGAGTAGATAAAAGAGATTTATTTATGAACTTTCCTGTTCCAGGCAGTGCGTCATGGAATATCTTAGCCACCTTCTTGCGTCTTCCCATCTCAGGAACACATAGCATTGTAGGAGCTGTTGTAGGATTTTCTCTTGTTGCCAGGGGAAGCGGTGGAATTCAGTGGAATAAACTAGGCCTAATTGGTAAATATGTATTTATAATTAAGAAAGAGTTGAGGTCAGGTTTTCAGGTCAAGTCGCAGTTTTTATGTTGTGAGTGAGGTTTTATGTTATGTTGTGAGTCAGGTTTTAGAGTATGTTGCGAGTCAGGCTTTAGGTTATATTGTCAGTCAGGGTTTTTGTTATAAAGTGTGACTCGCAACATACTCTAAAACCTGACTCACAACACAACACTAACTTATAACAAGTTTAGATGGATGTACCAATCTTCAGTTAACATCCTACATCTTTCTCTCAAGTTAAAGTATCAACAACACTAACTTGTAACAAGTTTCGATGGATATACTATTTTTTCAATGAAGTTTCTCTAATGAGACAAGAAACATGGATTAGCTAAAAAAGAAAATATCAAGAAATTCTATATTTTCAAGTCATGTGACTTTTGGAATGTTATTAAACTGTCACTCAGAAAAACATGTATGGATGCTAGAGCTTTGATATACAAGTTGTTTGGTTATACTATAATCAGAAGTATTATATATTTTATTTTATAGTACCTAAAATTATCAGAGAGATATTGAAAGTTCTAAGCTTACCTTTTTAAGTATTAAATGGCGAATGATAATAAATATCAGGACAGAAACTGTACCAGATAATACAGGAGAAATAAACCAGGAAGCAACTGAAAAATGAAAATGTAATTTTAAATGCACATGGTAACATTAACAACAGATTATTTAATCATTCCAACACTGTTTGCCTTTTCAACAGAGCTTATTAAAATATAGCTACATATTACAGATTTATTTTTATAATCACATCAATATATTTTTCTTCTTTCACGATAACTATGGTCCTCTGACACAAAAACTTTATTTTCAAACCACACTCATTTAACAATTAAAATTAGGCTTAGTTAATAAAACTGAATAAAAGAAAGCATTCTCAACCCTTTTCATGATCTTAATATCATCATGTCCAAAACACCACTGACATTATAGTAAACCACAATTAAATGTACTAAAATAGACTATAGGACAACATTAGTCACATTCTATAAAGGGTATGAAAAAAGATTATCAGGAAATATAAAACAGCAAAGATTTCTTTAGAGTCATTATAAGTAAGCAATAAATATAATGTAAAAAAGGGAATTTGGTCTTTGAGAGATGCTGAAGGAATGTATATTATAGAAGATTATAAGATAGCTAAGTTGCTAAATTATTATTCAGTTTTCACTACAGAAGATGTAAACAGTATTCCAGATCCTGTTAAATTACTAGTGATAAATATGATAGATGTAAAAAACTTAGAATTAGCTATGAAACTGTTAAAGAAAAATTATGAAGTTTGGAAAATAATAAGGCTCCTAGACTAGATAATATTTTTTCCAAGAGTAATAAAAGATGCTAAGAATAGAATACGTAAGCCCCTTAATAAAGTATATTTTGAGGTGGGCAGGTACCAGGAGACTAGAAGCTCATTAACGTTACAAGCTACAAGCATTTTCCACGTAATTATAGAACAATTAGTCTTATTTCTATGATGGTAAAAGTTTTTGAGACTGATCAAAGATGCTTTGCAAAACCATCTAAAATACAGTGAAAATCTTGTGTAACAAATCTTTTGACTTTCTTCTAATGTGTAACCACATATTTTGATAAAAGTAAAGCTGAAGCTTAGGTATGGCTTTCAATAAAGATAAAGATCTTTATAAGTGTGGGTAGGGGATCAGTTACAGATTAAGGGTTGATTAGAGGAGAGAAAGGTTATATTAAATGGATCCCACTCAAACTGGTTTGTAGTTCTAAGTGAGACATAACGGGTCACTGAGTTCGAGCCCTTCCTCTTTTTTTTTTAAATATACATCAGTGATATTGATATGGGAAAGGTCAACAAATTGGTCAAGTTTGTTGATGATATTAAAGTTATGGGTGAATTTGACAATGAGGAAGAAGCTGTTGTTTTACAAAAGGATTTGGATCATGTCGTTTGGTATTTAATTATGTTAAGTTCAAGGTAATGCATGTGGGCTACCTTAGTTGAAACTATAATTACAATCTTGATGAGAATTAACAATGTTATGGAAGAAGTTGGCCTTGGTGCTTTGATTAATCAGTCCCTTAAACCTTCCAGGCAGTATGTTGCTACATGAGGGAAAGCAAATAGCATTTTGGTTTGTATTTACAGGAATAAAGAATATAAGTTATGTGAGGTGATTGTTTCTTTGCACATATCCCTGGTTAGGCCTTATTTGGAGGTTATTGTCCCCAGAGGCATCGCTAGATACTTAAAAGGTTCAGGGCTCAGACCCATAGGTACGGGAAACTTTGGCTTTAAGTATGATATTTATCATAGCTTTTTACTCTGATTTTTCAAGACACCAACTGGGAACTTGGGGCACTGTCAAAGAGAATCGGAGCATGAGCCCTGTATGCCAGTGCCTGGCGATGCCTCTGATTGTTCCTTTGTACAAATCCCTGGTTAGGCCTTATTTGGAGTACTGCATTTAGAAATAGTTTCTTATATTTTCAGATGGGAGATTGAATTGTTGGAAAGGGTTCAAAGTAGGCCTATTAGAATGATTCCTGGGATGGGGGACTTTCATATGAGAACAGCTTAATTTCCTTAACATTATTGTGTCTAAAGAAAAATAGTTAGAGGGAATCTGATTGAAGATATTGTTACAACATCGGAGGTCACGTGACGCTAGTATCACGCCACAAGCTTCTCGAACGTTCCTGTCCCTTCCTGAAATATCGGGAGTTTACTAGATCTCGGTATTCTTTTATACATAAGACGGTCAACGTGACGGCAATAATGTAATGAGTAATTGAATATATGCGGACAGAGAATATTGCTGGGCACGCGAGACGTTCGTTGTGAGTTATAGCGTTGGTTACACCGCGACTGTTGAAATTAAGTGTATTTCAAAGTTCTATTCAGAAAGAATAAACCAGTTTTATTTAAGAAAGGAATTGTATCGTTAGAATTTCTTCGGAAATAATTTTTACGGAAAATTAACTAACGAATGGAGACGTAACAATATCAAAAGGGAGTAGATAGGATTGATGTGTGTGTGTGTTTAATGGTGTGATTGGTAGGATAATGTGACATAGGTTTACGATTTGGCAGAGAGAAAGTCTGAAAACTAGGCAACTTTATTTTTGGAACAGGGTGGTAAGCCTTTGGAATATGTTGCCTTTAGAGTGGTAGACACAACAGGATTGGGAGAGTTCAAAATAAAGTTTTTTAAATACTTAAAAAATCAGGTTTAGAAACATGCTACAATGGGCCCTTATTGTCCCTCAAATGTTATTTTTCCTCTAATAAAGTTCCCTAGGAATTTTATACAGTAATGCTGTTGTTCTAAATTCTCCTTTCACGTGATTAATAATTTAACTTACCTGTTCTTTCATTCAAGAGTGGGCCTTTGATTGGAATGCTACATTCTAAAAGGTTTTTACTTCTCTTCAGCTAATGTGATGAACTGTCAGAATCTCCCCCATTTAAACCTGCCACCCAATATTTCTCTATTATACACAGTTTGCTTTAATTTCTTATTTACTTTACATACTCTATACAATAAATTTATCGAAAAAGTATATCATAAGGTAATTTCAGAGTTTAAAGAGGTTTCAAAAAGGTACTTGCATTCACGTGTTTTTTGTTGTTTATTTTTAATAGGCCAGAATAAGGCAAGTGACCTGAGATGAAACATACTCGCGCTGTAATTGTAGAAACACTTGAGTCAAACGTATTTTCAAGCAGAACCAAAGAGGTGTAAGTAGGGTGTTTTGTTGCCCGTATGACATACCGCCATTTTTTTTCCTTATCGGTATGCATACAGGCGCATACCGCTCCACTTTAACCACTAGGTAATTGAACACCATACAGTTATTAATCTTAAAAATACAACTATATATAAATGAAATGATAAATGAGAAGTTTTTCATCGTAGTAATCTCCTCTGAAAGAATTTCATAAGGTAGCTTAGTTAAATTTATCAAAAACCTGTAATCAATAACAAAGAAAAACTGTTTAGATTTTGATTTATTTGGTCTGTTTTGGATTTCGCGCAAAGCTAGACGAGGGCTAACTGCACTAGCCGTCCGTAATTCAGCAATGAAAGAATAGAGGGAAGGCAACTAGTCATCACTACCCACCGCCAACTCTTGGGCTACTCTTTTACCAACGAATAGTGGGATTGACCATCACATTATAATGCATCCACGGGCGAGCATGTTTGGTGGAGGGTGGTTCCGAACCCGCGACTCTGAGTCAAGTGCCCTAACCACCTGTCAATGCCAAGCCCGACTGCTTAGGAATAATATATTGTCGTAGCATTGTTCTTTTTGTTGGGCGGGTTCTTTTAAATTATTTGGTGGAAATAATTCGAAGTCCAGCAGGTAACCATAATGTAGGCCTAAGTTTACAGATGACGTTCAAACGGGAATACCTCGCTGAAGATACTACAACAACGTCAAAAATAAACTTGTGCAATTTCAAGGTCAATCTATCGAGTAACTGAGTGTACGAGATAGTTAACACTGATCCAAATATTTCACTAAAACGACATTCTTTAATGAATTAACTGACTGATTCGCTGTGCGTGAATTCTCGTATTTATAACTGATGTCTCATCTCTAGATATTAATTGAAGTTACTCGTTTTTCGAGTAGAACATTCTATGTTTTTAAGACTTACTTGATCTTAACGTGCAACTCCATCTAGCTAACATTAAAGTTAAAACACTGAAAATATCGCTTACAGCAATCTTTTTTAGTTTTATGTTAATTACTTTTTGTAATACCCACGCTACTTGCTTATCTTGGACTTAATTCATGACCATGCCCTCACACAAGTATTCCGATATCAATTTTCTGACACAACCTTATTTCGAAGTAGATAATCTAAAGCTACCAAATTTCTGCGAGGCTCAAATAGGACATTTGGTGAGCTCGTGTGTGGGAATGTGTAAAACTGGTATCTCTTTCTATCACATGGTAATTTTTATCCAAAAAATGTGTGATTCCCAGGAAGTATCGTATTTAATGTATTCTGTGCAAAGTGATCTGTGATATATCCTCAATAAATTATTATCTCTTTCTATCAAAAGGTAATTTTTATCCAAAAAATGTCTAATTCCCAGGAAGTATCGTATTTCATGTATTCTGTGCAAAGTGATCTGTGATATATCCTCAATAAATTATTACAATTGTAGAACAATATTTGACAGAAAATATGATAATATAGAAAGCACGAAGTTTCAAATGATAATGACGGCAAAGATTCGATTCCCCTCTATACTGGGATATTCCTGCTTCGTTCAGACACCGTAATTCTTGTTGCTTTTCCATGTGTACGTGTCTGCTTCTGTGCCAATACCACCGAAATATGCTTACGCTGGTAGAAAAAAAAGTGCTAAACACACACACATAAGGCAGTTCACAACAACAGAATCAACATTCCTGCGCCGGGAAAGTAGTTCCTTTACTTCAACCAATGCCTAGGACTAAAATTGAAAGCAGAAAAAAATTGCGATTTTTGTAAATGCATTCGGACAGTGAGACAGCATTTACAAAACGGGGACTGTTTGATAGAAAGATATTCATTACATATTAACAAAATAATGTTAAAATATGTCTTAAAATTAAAATAGAACAATACGTCGACAAAAAG